TGGATACACCTGTGCTTGTGTGCGCGTGTAACGCGCGAGTGCACGCCTGGCGGACCTGAGCAGCTCTGCCTCCTACGCCCTTTTTTTAGGGGAGAAATGCTGTATGCATAGAGGAACACCGTGTGTATGACTGCCAAAAACAGCCTGGCTGCGAGCAAAGCCTTATCTTTAATCTCCTTGTGGATACCTGCCTCTTTTAAAATCATGAACAGTTCCGTGAACTAGGTTTGGACTGTGTTTTCTCTTTTTCATCTATATGTTTCTGTATTGTGGCCCTATAAATCAAGAAGTGTTATCAGCCCCTTCTGTAATTTTAACAGTAAATAGGAGGCATATCAGTTACTGTCAGAAGTTGGATTAGTTCAGAAACAGGTTACCATGTCCATTTGAAGTAGACTGGAGCTTGATGACTCTGCTGCTTTACATTTATATATAGAGCTGACAATTGTTCAAGTAGGCAAAAACCAAAAAAGAAGGGGATTGTTAGAGGTGAAACTAATCAATCAACTGTAAAACATTTAAAATGTACTGTAGATATTTGAGATTTCAGTATTAGGAGCAAGTGGTATTTTGTAGCATAGGAGGATTGGGGGAGGTGGAGTGTTGGGGAGGTGAAAACATTTCAATGCCATTTGACTGCCATAAGGAGCAGAAGCAGATCTCAAGGAACACAGCTACTAGAAATTCTCACTGTTTCCAAGAAGTGGGAGGAAAATACTAATCCCCTTCTCTTCTTTCTCTGAATTAAATCTCGTGGTCTGCTTCTCCTTTCATTCTAATTTATTTCCTTGTAAAAGTATAGCTGGCAAAGTTAACCTCTATGGAAAGGGGAGCAGGCTCTTCAGCTGTTGCTCTGTTCCTTTAGCAAGTCAGATCTCCACCAAACACTAAGGCAAGAAAATACGTTTGACCTAAATTGCTCCCTCTCTGTACAGTCCCTTTTCCCACCTGCCTGCCCAAGAGATGAACAATCCTGATGTACTGGAAAACACGATGGATAACAGTCAGGTGTTTTTTCTACTATTTTCAGTTTATTGGAAATTGATAAAATGCCTCACAGTGTCATGCTAAGGGTCTTCAATCAGCACCTGTATTTGTGATCCAGCATGTGTAGGAGGGGATGCTGGGCTCGCAGGCAGGCTATTTGGCTTGCACAGGGCTGTTCTGAGAGATGCAGCTCCTTTCAAGGAAGGTTTTGATTCTGTTTTTTTGGTTGTTTCTTTTTCTGCAGTAAGAAAGAAGTTAGTCACTTCCTGTATTTGGGTGTTCGTGGTGCTTTTCTCAGCTTTAATATTGCACTCAGCAACCAGTGATAGATACTATTTTAAGGCCTCTTACAATGGTCTTCTCATTTACTTAGCTAAAATGAGAAAGCTAGCCCTGCGTTGGCCACTTGTTAGCTGATGACAACTTTTACTTTGAATCTGGCTCCCCCTCCCCCACCTGAAATCCCTGGCTCAGCAAATATTTGAACCTGCCCAAGTTAATCATGAAACTGAGATCTTTATCTGAGAGAGACGTGCAAGCTAGTGAGGGTGGTGTTTCTTTTTTTTTTTTTTTCTTTTTCACAGTACTAAAGTCAGGTTCACTTTTTAATGATGAACCAGAGTAAGTGGATACCTTCTGCACAGCACGGAGCTTTAAGCAGTTAAGAAGGGAGAGAAGGCTTGGATTTTCTCAGTGTGTGTTACAGCTTTTTTAGGGATTTTTATGAACATTGGTTGGAAAGCAGAGCAGTCTCTTTTTCAGAATTTTTTTTTTTTCTTCATTGCTTCAGAGAAGCTTCCTAGTAGAAGGAGGTTTGTGGAATTTTTTTAGGCAAGATTTTTATAGGATGAAACCAATTAATTTTTCAGGTTATTGGATTGTATTTTCAGGCTGTACTACAAGGGCAAGCATCTGTGATGCATAATTTACAAAGTAAGTGATTTTGAATTTCTGTGTGTGTTTTCTTCATTACCTTGTCTTCATCACCTTGTGGAAGTATTGTACTGTAAGTGATTACCAGGTAGAGCTTTCATGGTCTTAAGATACATGAATGAAAGTCAAGTACCTCGGTATCTCTCCAGGTTATATATAGGCAACAGGGAACCACCTGTCTGCCTCCTGTCTTTTCTTGCCTGCAAGCTAGGCTAGTCTGAGCTCAGCACTAACCTGATTATGCAAGTGTGGGCAGTCCAAAATTTGGCCACTGGTGAAACTCTGTAGAATAAATTTTTCCTGAAAGCCTTTATTCCATGGAATAAAAACATCTTACTGATCCCACATGAGACCTAAATGCAGCAAAGTAGTCTTTGTAGGAAATCTTTATAACCTAATTTAAATAATTACCTTGGCAACTGAACTGTTTGGGTAGTAGGTGGGCTAAACCTCCAAGTTCGGTGTTTGGACTTGTGTCTGGGATTATTTTAAGTATCCTGTTTCATTTTGGAAATGGAAGGAATCTTTGGAACACATCTACCTAAACAGGGAGGGGAGAGTCTACTTCAAAATTAATTTAAGCTTGTTAAAATGTAAAGCAAATTAGCATGCATTTTTTTTGTAGCTGTTGGTACTCCAGACATGTTCATGTATGTTAATGCTTGTCTCAGAGTAGTAAGCTGCTGAGAGGCGCAGGGGGGTTGAGGGTGGGGGCACACATGTGTGAAGGAAAGGATATAAACTGTGTTAATTTTTTTATTGAGTATTTGTGAGATAGAGCACATTTCAGCCGCACCAAGATTTCATATGATGTAGGCACAGATAGTTGCTATAGCTACTCTTTGTTGTGGTTATTTTTGGTATCTGGTTTTCTGCCCCCATAGATTATAGCAAGTATAAAGCTTTCACGTTGCTTTACATAGATTTTCTGCTCTAGAATTAAGTCTGTTCTGTGCATGTTTCTTCCAAGAAGGTCTGGGAGAGTTACAGTCAGCAATGGGGGGCATTGAAGGAATATTTCTAAATGGTAGGAGGACACTGATGACAAAAAGCCAAGTGAAGAATGAGACACTGACAAGGGACTCTTGCTTTTTAAAACAATTAACTTGATAAATATCTCAATGAGAACAGGGTAGAGAAACAGTGTGAAAAGGCAGACTAAATGTTGCTGTATCCTGAGAGACTGGCTTTTTATGTTCAGTAAAATCACTTTTCAAGATCTTGCTCAGTTTTGATTTTTTCCCATTGGTTAGACAAGTCTGATGTACTTGGTTTTTGGATTTTGAAATGAGTTAATCTAGATCAATTGGAATTGTATGTTATTATGGTATGATCAGGGGAGGAAGACATTTCTGCAATAAGCACGTTTTATATAATACTGTAAAGTATACAAGACCTGTGTCTCCATTAAAATAATAGAAGTCTTCATAGTTTAAAAACATCATCCTTATTTCATTATGTGGAGATGCGTATTTCATTACATGTGTAAAATGAGTGTGTAATGAACACACACACGCGCACAGAGTCATGCTCTTTTCCCTTCAGCATCTTTAATATGTACAGTAGGTCCAGAAGCCTTTTAAAGCTTTTTGAATGGTAAACTCGAGGCATCCAGGCAGGAGAACTGCAGCCGAGGTGTGCTCGACCTACTTGTAAGGGGAGCTGGGCTGTGTGTGTGAGCGTGCATCTGTTGAGTGGAGGAGCTGCGTGCTGCAGCGCATCAGCCCTTTGTCATCCTGCCAGGACCGGACCGTACCACGCTGCAGGGGCAGGAGAAGGGGCGAGAAGCACGGGCAGGCAGAGCCCACCGGCTCCTTTTGTTCAGCATACCGGGCTCGTGTTGCAGTTCTGCCGAACGCGGGTTCTTTCTGAAACCGAAATTGTTTGAAGATTAATGTAGAAGAAAATGATGAAACAGGAGTGGTCTGGTGACATTATTTTGACATGATTGGCTGAGGATTATGATGTAATAGGTTACAGTGCAGCCCCTCATAGGTTTTAAAATGAATTCCAAGACACCATTACAAAGAGAGCCTGACTCTTTTCTTGTATCTGAGCTTACTCAGTGAAACTCATACAAATGTACAATACTGTTTGGAATATGGAAGAACTGGATATAGAATATCCTAAGACAGATATAAGTTGTGGCACAGACTTGATGTTTTACATAGAAATGGATCCACCAGGTAAAACTGCAGTCTTATTATGGAAGACTTAATTCATTTTGGTCTTTACAATAACTGCTGAAAAATTTTTAGTAGATATATAGGATTTCTTTACTTTGTCATTTATACAACTAGTTTTTTCTTTTTTTTTTTTTTTTCATAAATTGGAATTGTTGTTTAGTGCATGATTATAGTGATTGGAATATTAACCTGTAGAAATAGCTGTCTGCTTACTTAATTAAATTTTTACTGAATGTACCTGTTTCTGTTTTGATTTTCTTCTGTCAGTTATAGTTGAATTTCTGCTGTTATATAATTTTTTTAAAAAATTATTTATTATTTTTTCTGTCTGTGTTCCACACTGTGATTAAAAAGATATGCTGTAGTAACACTTTAATTTCCTAAAACTGTGATTGCAAATCATTGTTTTGAACTGTTTGAGGAAAAACAGATTTTAAAATCTAGCTGTATTAATTGAATACCTGATATCACATCATTTTTTTCATATCCTATAAAAATAGTATGCTATCTTTATATTTATTGCAACTTTAAAAACATTTGTCTTTTGTGACCAGTCATAATATGCGGGACAGGGAGGTCCATAAGGAGTGATGTACTTACTGGAGAACTAAAAGAGCTGGTCTGATTTTTAATCCTGATTCCAGTGTAGTCCTCCTTGCTACTAAGTGAGGAGTGCTGCAGTATCTTCCTTGGCGTCCACTGGTATATGTGTGCAGCTTTGACATTGAGAAAAGGGGGATGTGGTTTTTTAATCAGTCCTGGCATTTGAAACATGGTTTATTCTGTAGAATGCTAAGATTAAGACAAGGGATATTTGGGTCACAGATGGGTTTCTTGAAGTGTTTTTCTGGTAAATCATCAGAGTGCTGAGGGTCACAGAACCCCAGTTCATCTTGCTAAAATGCACAGTATTGCTGTGGGTTTGCATATTTTATTACTCGGCTCCTGGGTGAGGAAGCAGCAGCAACATTTCTCTAAGAACATTACACAGGAGGTAAATAGAGAAATTTTACATGTTTTATTAGTTATATTCTCCTGAAGATAGTAGGAGAACGTAAAGGCAAACTTCAGCATTTTTTTTTTCCTAATACACTTTCTTCACAGAGAGGAGATGAGGAGGATTGTTATGTTTTGCTTAAAAGACATTATTGCAAGAGTAAATAGTTTCTGAAACAGTGCATCTTTTTGCTTGAATTATATTGTTTTCAGTAAAGTACCTTGATTCCTGTAATGTCTTTTAAAAACTGCTAGTGATGGAAAACTGTTTTGTAACTTTTGTTTTTTCCTCATTCGTGTAATAATGTGTAATTTTAAGGGATATATGTTCGGGTTCTCAATGAGTTATAATCAACTTTTTTTTTCCCCCCTTTCATCTGCAGCACTGCCTCCTAAGCCACCGAAACCTAATACTGTAACAAACAACGGCATAAATAACAACATGTCATTACAGGATGCTGAATGGTACTGGGGAGATATCTCAAGGTAAGTCAGCTCAAGACATGTTTCTTATGTTTGACTTTATGTTCTTGTTATGCTAATCTGTGTATATGTATTACAGTTAAGTATAGAAAAAAATTACATTTCTAAGAGTAATTTTTAGGATATTTTCCAACATAGACATGTTACCATTGGTGTTGCACCAAACACAACCAAAAAGTTACTGGCAGTCACTTAGAATGTAGTATGAGAAGTTATTGTTCTGTTACTTTAAGACAGCTATATGAAATGCTAGCGTGAAAGGAGAACACCAAGAAATAACTGTTTTCTTCTTGTCTTTCATCCAGAACCTCAAGTGTAGCACTACAGTTAACAAGCCAGATTAACAAGTGCTATATATTAGCAACATTTTTAACTGTACTATATATAGCTATGTTAGACCATCACTGACTGCTCCAATTGTTCAGGCTTGTATAAACAAGCAGCAAGACCTTTGCATGAATATAATTTTGTCCAGCAGTGAGAGGATGTAGAAAATACCATTTTTATATCCCAGTTGTTCTCCAGCAATGTTAAATAAGTTACTAAATAACTGTATTTATTACTACAGAGATCAAGAAGGCTTCTAAAACCCAGTTATTTTAAAACAGAAGAATTTACAGCACATAAATGAGTGAGAAGGAGCTGAAATGATTGGTTACTTTTGCTTTCATTTTAGAGAAGAAGTAAATGAGAAGCTTCGAGACACAGCTGATGGTACCTTTTTGGTACGAGATGCTTCAACCAAAATGCATGGGGACTACACACTTACGCTAAGGTAGGATTAGTTACACTAGGTCTGTAAACCTTGACAGTAAAATGCGTGTAAAATACAATGTTCTTTAGGATATAGTACCTGAAGCGTGTCTTAATTTTTCAACCAACTTTATTTACAGGAAAGGAGGAAATAACAAATTAATCAAAATATTTCATCGAGATGGAAAATACGGCTTTTCTGACCCATTAACTTTCAACTCTGTGGTTGAGCTAATAAACCACTATCGGAATGAATCTCTAGCCCAGTATAATCCTAAACTGGATGTAAAATTACTGTATCCGGTATCTAAGTACCAGCAGGTAATTTAGTCTATTTTCTTTGGTTTTCACTTAAACACAGAGAAATTACTGCAGACTAGGGAATCGTTTGTCATTAAGAACTGCAACTCTCTTAATATTTTAAAAAATAAAGTGGGTATAAAAATGGATATTTGTGTTTAAAATCAACTCCACAGTTTGCATATAAATAATTAAATTTTCAAATACTGCAGATACATTATTAAAAAGTAAACGTATGTTAATAAATATCCCACTCATCAATGATAAATATATAATTTTCAGTATAAGATGAGCATTTGGAATACAAAATAGGTTTTAGTCATTAATTTCTTACTTGCGTATTATGCATTTAGTATTGTATCTCTGTGTTGATGAAGGAGGAGTCACATTTACCTTGTAACTATATGGGCATTTTTAGGCATTTTTATCCTGAAAATCCGTGCAACATCTTTATCTTTCCTTCTGCACATCATTCCAGGATCAAGTTGTAAAAGAGGACAGCATTGAAGCAGTAGGAAAGAAACTGCATGAATATAATACCCAGTTCCAAGAAAAAAGTCGAGAATATGACAGACTCTATGAAGACTACACAAGAACATCTCAGGTGAGCTAGATTTGAAACCAAAGGGAGACTGGAAGACTTCTGCAGACGTAAAAAAAATATTACTGTAAATTTCATATAGGCATCTTCCTCCTCCTCTCTGCTGTCACCAATAGCATTCCCCAAAAGAGGAAACATATCTGATATGCTTGCTCAGTATAGTAGAATTGCTTACTCATGTTTGAACAGCCACCACCTGTAACCTAATCCACCATGTGCCAAGTCTGACATCTGCATACAAATCAAGCACAGAACTGTCTTGATTTACCAACACTTCTGCATACTGACCTCATCAAGCTGAGAGTTACAGTTCTCAAGGCACATTGGCAGGGAAGTATTGTATTTTATTACTGTTTTTTAAGGGTCTGGTGTCATCTATGCAGAGTAGAGACACGATGTGTGTAGGTACAGTGCAGGAATGAAAAGTACCTCTGTCCTGCTTTCAGCTTAATGAATTGTTAGCCGACTCTTGAAGTGCCAGTGAATTAATATAGTTTCACAGACCCAGAATCAAGACTGCTTCTTAAAATGTGCAGGCAATGCACCTAAAAATAATTCCAGAGAAGTGGAGGAGTGTGGTCAACTTGAACTAATGAACTAAAAATCTTGGCTATCCACTAGCTATGTAGCGGCAGGAGGATGGACTAGATGACCTCTTCAGACCTACCCAGACGATAATCTTACACGTATTTCAGAAAACAACATATGTCTCTAAGGACATTAGTTGGTACAAAGTGCAAAGTGCATTGCCACAAAGCTCTGATGATCACAAATAAAACTTATTTATACAAAACAAAGATTGGAGATACCTCTTTGTCTGGCGGTTTTTATTTATTGGAAAACCTCATCATGGAAAGCCTCATCATGGTAGCCTTTTGCACAGGCCTGCTTTAAAAGGCTCTGCAGGCAGAATGCGTTCTGGTAAAGAGATACTGAAGTCTTCTTTTACAAGACTATTGTCAAGACTCCCTCTTGTCTGATAACACCATAATATTTTTTTTTCCCCCCAGGAAATTCAAATGAAAAGAACAGCTATTGAAGCATTTAATGAAACAATAAAAATATTTGAAGAGCAGTGCCAGACACAAGAAAGATACAGTAAGGAATACATTGAAAAATTTAAACGGGAAGGAAATGAAAAAGAAATACAAAGGTCAGTATTTGTACGTACATTTCAAATTGCATGACTTTGACAAAAGCGGCAATGCAAAGTATAGATCTGTGTAAAACTAAGGCAAGATTGCAAGTTTAAAGTTGTTTAAAGTTGTGAACAAAGAAGCCTCAATGGATTGAACTTGCAAAATGTATAGATAACTACATCTAGGGTGATAATCTTAAGTTTTCCTAAGTGTTTGCACTACTGAATAGTTGATTATAAAGTTATGAATAAGACATCATCAGAGTGTAACTTACCACATTATTCCATGCAGAATTATGCACAACTATGAAAAACTGAAGTCTCGAATAAGTGAAATTGTGGACAGCAGACGTAGATTGGAGGAGGATTTAAAGAAGCAAGCAGCTGAATATAGAGAGATAGACAAGCGTATGAACAGCATTAAGCCAGACCTCATACAGCTGAGGAAGACAAGAGATCAGTACTTGATGTGAGTATCATTATGAATGAACATTTTTTCTTAAGTTTTATTATTATTATGATGATCATCATTACTATTATTATCATTATTGGTATCCAACTTCTGTGACTAAAAATTAATTTTATTTGCAATTTTTGTCCAGGTGGCTGACTCAAAAAGGTGTTCGTCAGAAGAAGCTAAATGAATGGCTTGGAAATGAAAATACAGAAGAGTGAGTATTAAAAGATTTGAATATTTCTGGTCTTTGAAATCGTCTTATGCCAGAGTGAAGTAAACCATATTTAGTTCCTGGATGGCGCAGAGGCTGTCTCAAGCCTAGGTCTCTCCGGTAACAATGCACACTCCCTGGCAGCCTGCATGATGCAAGTATGGGAAAGAACTCGGTTGCACCCCCTGCTCTCCATTACTCGGGGAAGTGCATAATTGAGCCACTACAGCAAAGCGCTGGAATGTAACCTGTGTCTTTATTCTTATCAGCAAAATGAATATCACAAGGTGTTAATATCTTACAGTGATGCCCTTAGAAGTGTGGATAAATAGCTCAGAAGGTGTCTCAGACATGGACAGGCTCCTCCCAGATTTCAAGCATTGGTACCATGGTGCTATCTAGTATAATGGTACCCACACCCACATCATGGTTTCACATTGTTATTGGAGATTATAAAATGGTATGTGCTGAGCAGTGGTCCCCCTCTGGTTTTGTGGTCTATTTAATTTTTCTGGGAAATGGCAGAATAGTATTCTGGCATTTCAAGCAATTCAGAACCCTACAGGTTCTGACAGGGGCTCAGCGAATGAACATATTTTATTTAATTCTTGGGAAAAAAACAAAAAGCGCCTTGGTGCATGGGAATGTAGACCTAATTTAAACAAAAGAAAACCACAAAATAATACCAAAAATGTAGTAACGGTGAAGAATGAACACATAGAATAAGAAAGTTATCTGAGTAATATTGGTATCAATATTTTTCTGCTTGTGTAGTTTCTTGTACGTGGCTTTTACACTCACTGGCTGAACACAGAGCAAAAGACAATGACTGTTTAGTGGATTTAGATGCTAGCCTTGTCCACATCTGTTTTAATTTGTCTTGGCTTATTGAGTCTCCTACTGTTACCCTGTGCTGTGGCTTCACTGGTAGAAACAGGGGATAAAAACAGCATAAACATTTTAAAGCCATATTTACTCAGTCTTAGCACAGCTCAGAGATGATATGATGGAGACTATCTAGGCAACTCTTTCCTGTAGTACTTCTATCACATAAACAGCAGACAAAGAACAATGCCAGGCCATGGTTTTAGTGTAGCATCAAAATAGTGAAATTGTTTAAAGAAAAGCTTCCTTTTCCCTCACTCTGTGACTCCCCTGGCCAGTAAGTCTAGTAAGTGCTCATGTTTCTGCTGAAAAATTGAACTTTCAGAATATGACTTTTTCCCTGAAGTTGTAATAGAGAAAAAAAAAAAAACAATATAATGATAATCAGGAAAAACAGAAATCACTTTTGCTACCTGCTGGTTGAAAATAGAGTCTGTGCTGAAGGTGTTTAAATATAATGCAGGACAAAGGAGTACAGTAGTATACGAGACCTAGAAAGAGTGACATCTGAAACAAAAGAACTCTTCTTTGGAAAAATTAAGTTCTATGAGATTGCTGATTTCTGTAGACTACTTTGAGCATCTTCAGAAGGACAGAACTGTGGATGAATGAGAAGTCAGGTTTTCTTTGACCAAGTAAAAACTGATTAAAAACCTGTTACATAGAGAATATACATTAGCCAAAGGCAAAGTGGTTACAAGTTGAGCAGGAGAGGCAGGGCCTACCAGTGCAGGCTGCTGGGGGAGTGGGGAGCTTTAGAACTGCAGAATATCAGTGGTCCCCACAGAGCTGAACCAGGGACATCTTTTTTTTCATGGTTGGCTTTAGCTCAGAGGACTCGCTGTAACTCTGAATCAGCTGTGTAGTTTGTGGCTGTTTTGGTAGAGGAGGCTCTATGTTACATGCTCTTCTCATAATCTAGTTATATGGAGAGGGAGAAGGAGAGGGGCAGGGGCAGGGAGAGGGACAGGGAGAGGACTCTACTATTCCATGCTTTCCACAAAGCCATCTCCCCTATAAATAATTTATCTGTCTACCTGCACAACTGCTCATGGCTTTCCCAAGCAGCAGTTGGTATATTGCATGATTTTTCACTGCTGACCAAGGGTTCTGATCTTTGGAAACGAAGCTGACTCAGAGGGTATTGATTTCCTTGGGCTTGCTGTTTACCAAAACAGTAAGCTACAGCAGCTGTACTTAGGTACTTACAGCAGATTCTGAAACATTAGAATAACACAGCATCCTTTTATATCCTTCCTTAGATACATGAGTGGTTTTAGAAGAAACAAGAACTAAAACTTATATTTTATTTTTATTCAGTTTGAACAGTGCGGTATTACATGGCTTACATCCTAGTTTTATCAGGGAAGCATCCTACTAGCCACTGACTTTTTTTTTAAGTAATTTGAAAGTGGGACTTCTTAAATTTATGGATTTTGCTCTGCTTTGTGTTTCACAAACACATTTTTGTCATATTTAAACAGCCAATATTCTATGGTAGAAGATGATGAGGACTTGCCCCATCACGATGAGAGAACATGGAACGTGGGAAATATCAACAGAAGCCAAGCTGAGAATCTGCTGCGGGGAAAGCGAGATGGAACATTCCTTGTTCGGGAAAGCAGCAAGCAAGGCTGCTATGCCTGCTCTGTTGTGTATGTATCCCAATTCGGGGATGAAGTAACCAACTTTTGAGGCACCTACCTTGAGCAAGCGGCAGATAGACACTTGTATGTGTATGGATCCTATTCGGCCTTTGGGCCTAGAAGCAGACAGACAAGTCCTAAGCCCATCCTTACTGCTGCTCCATTTCTTACATGTCTCAGACCTGTGCCACTCCCACAGATGAGCCTCATGCAGAAGAAGGGAAGACAAAGCATGGATGCACTCCTTCCTGTGCATCTGCTAAGTTCTGCCTATCTCCTGCCTTCCTAAGCTAACACAGCTTCTGGGGATTTGGGTTAAACCTAGGCTTTTACCATTATCCTGCCATAGAAGGCGGGAATTCTATGCAGAGACTAGCATCTTAAGATTTACTGCCAATATCTGGCTTAACTTTACTGACAAACTAAAAACTGTTGTTTTTTTTTTTTTCTCTTTAGGGTGGATGGAGAAGTAAAGCACTGTGTGATAAACAAAACACCTACTGGGTATGGATTTGCAGAGCCATATAACTTGTACAACTCACTCAAAGAACTGGTGCTACATTATCAACACACATCACTGGTGCAGCACAATGACTCTCTCAATGTCACACTAGCATACCCAGTATATGCACAGCAGAGGCGATGAAGATCTTAATACTCTGGGTTATTTGGTTTCTTTCTAAAGAAAAGATGTGACAACACTGAGGCCTCTGGAGAGAAAAGGCTTCTTTCAGCCTTACTCAAGAATTTGAGCTGCAGTATCAAAGCTGTCTGTCTTCAGATGGGACTAGAGCTTTTCTTCACAACTGCAGTGGGAGAGATCACAGTATAAAGCTGTGAACGTATGTTTCTAATCTGAAGTGCTTTTGTTTTTTTAATTAAGAAAACGAGAGAGAAATCTGAACCTGATCTCACTGCAGGGACATAGAGGCCTTTAACCATGGTGCTTGTTTACGACCACTTCTGAAGCTTTACCAGCTAGAACATTGGACTGTCCAGACACAAGGTATAAGAGGTCTTTGGCATTCGGTTATTGGAATCTCATGGTCACATCCTGACTTGGATTTGGTGTTGCTGCACTCAGTGGATCCAGACACACAACATTGGGGATTTTTTTTTTTTTTTTGTTTGTTTCTGGTGAATGATATGTAGCAGAATGGCACTTTCATTTTTAAGGGACACTTTAAAAGGACTTCAATTACGGTGTGTTGTTAAGAGTAATTGTAATAGCAAAGTGCCAGGAAGTGTTTTGTTTAGACATTTAAAAATCCTGTTTCAGGAATATATTTAAGACTGAAGAAACAGGACTTTCAATGGCATACAGTATATAATAATGTACATAGTATTGGATGACTAACTATCATTGATGGAAACTATCAATACCAAACTGCTTCTCTTTTCCCTTTTCTGTTTGCTGAAAGCTTCTTTCTTAGACCATGCTATGCAATACTGAATTTTCTTTGAGCTGTAATCTTCTCTCAAACGTATTTACAGGTTAAGCTTGTTTTTCTAGTTTCCTTGTCTTTTTTCTTTCTTTTGCCTGGGAATATTTTTCCTGACAATTATTTTTTGGTTACTCATTTTGTTGTTTGTTTTGTTTTGTTTTTCATGTACAGGAAGCCAGCAAGAGTTGGCTTCAGAATTAAAACTATGAAATATTTTACAGTTTTCTTTGTATAGAGTATTGAGCTACTGGCTCACAGTTTTGAAAGTTCATAATTTTTTTTTGACTAAATATTTTGTTGGGCAGTGCCTGATAAGCTTCAAAGCTGCTTTATTCAATAAAAAAATATATGAACCTTACAAAATATAACTGAGTCCAACAATATTGTTTCAGAAATATCTTTAGAATACGGTACCACACTATGTATGCTTCTTGAAGCATTTTGAACTTCTATTGTGATTGTCTTTGTATTTCAGAGACAAAAAATGGTATATCCTTCTCTGATAGTGGTTGCAGAAAAAAAACAGGAGAAATTTGGCTACTGGGGTAGATAGTTTGGATCTCAGAATTAATCACTCTTCACAGTAAATAAATGACTTCTTGACCTACTGTGGCAGAAATTTTGTCAGCATGTAAAGGTATTTTCATTTCATATGAAGGAAGTTTCTCTAATCTGTTGCCTAGGTTTGTTTTTTGTATTAGTATTGTGGAAAAAGAAAAGCTCCTGACTTTACTAAGAATAAGTAAATGTTTGGATACAACGTAGAGCTAATTAAGACTGGAAAATGTCAGTTTTGAAAATTATTAGGCTATCATATTTAACATTATGGATTTATTCTCGCAAGTTTGTAGGCCGTGGCAGCATCCAAAGTGAACATTTAAATAATTTCAGGCACCAGACATACAAAATTATGGTTTAGTTAAAGGAAGCAAATACGTGAATCCCACTAAAGCCAACTTATTGGTGATTCTGGGATAATTCACTGCTGGTAGTTTGCAATGTTTATTTATTGTCCTGACCACTGAAAAAATTCACACATTGCAGATCGATTAAATAATGAAGTTCAGAGAAATCTTGGAAAAGTTTTGACTAAGCAGACACGGTTTTATTCTTCCCCCAAGATGCAAAGGCAAGACCCATTACTATTAAAGAGAGTTTCACACAGAATCAAAAGAGTAAGAGCCATGGAGTTCTCTCATAATAGCTCAATTTTGGAGATACATGTGTTTTAATTCAAAGTATGCAGTGCTTGTTGAGCTTTTGGAAATAGTAAATTTGTCATTCTCCAGTCATTTTTATATTATCTTTTAATTTTACATTTTTCCTTAATTTCTGAGGCTGTAAGGCTTTTGATTTTATTTTGATTTTGTGCTCTCTTTTTGTTTTTGGTAAGTTGTCTTTGCTTTCCTGTAGATGTATTTTCTTACTAGAATTTATATCAAGAAACAAGATTCAACCAACATTAATGTTTCAAGATAGACACCACTTAAAAAATTACTCTGATTATTTTTTCTGAACAGAAGTTTAGTCTTCATCCCTTCCCTTCCTCATTCCACACTCTTTTCAGGCCTGTAGTACCACGTAAATTTGATTTGCTAATAACTGGTTTTTACTATGAAAAGCACCAACAATTATTCTAGCATGTCAGTTACACTACTGGGCTTGAAGTTACAAATTAGTTCAATATACAACAATCTAACACGTGTAGCAATCCAGGATATTCTTTGGACATATCTTAATTTTTGAATGTTAAATATTTTAAGAGTTAAATTGTATTTTTTTTTTCTCTATAAGCAAACTATATGTAATCTGAATTGATGTTTCACATAGCATTTGTCAAGAAATTTTATCATACTTAAGGCATTTGGATCTAATTTTCTTCATATTAAGAAAACCTCTGCTATGTCAGTGGGCCATATCCTTAGCATGCCCAGCCCAGTATGGTATATTATTTATTCCTTTTGTGCTGTACAGCTTCTCTTCATTTGTGGTTGTAGCAGAGAAAAAAAAAAATAGTGTGTGTGCAAATTTGGCACTTGCTTTTCTTGCACAAGCAACAATGAGAAATAAGCACTATGTTATGGGGATCAATGCTTAGGGCTTCTTAAGGGGATATTCTGCCTACACAGGGGCTGTGCAATTTGCGAGGATCACTTAGGCCCTCAAGTTGGCACAAGTGGATTTTTTTTGGTACTTACATATTGTGTGGCCTCTGCGTTTCCCTCCCTCCTCAATGCACAGAGCTGAGTCCTGCCAAAGGCCCTATTCACTGCAGAGTTGTTTGTCCCTAGTGTTCCATATCGTTCACTCTAGTTTTGATTTGATCTCAAACAGGCTAATGCAGAAAAAAGCATGTGGATGTAACTGAAGAAACACAGTGCTTTTTTGTATTTCTATTGACATGTTGGTTTTCTGTCTAAAAATAATTAAAGGATAAGGGGTTTTTTTTTGGTTTGGGGAATTTTTTGTTTTATTTTAAATCCCCGAGTTATGCTGCACTCTAGCAGCACTTTCACAAGGCCTTTGAAAGGTATGAAACGTAACACAGAGAACCAACAACCACAAGCAAAATTAAGAGTTTTCCTTAAGTTGAAATTTGAATTTGCAGCTTTGGGGATGTGTATCTGTGCATATGCGTGCCCACTTGCTGTGTTTATGTATCAGTAGATCCCAGTATAGGTGCATTTTCACCAAACATTATAATTTTGCTGGATTCATTAAGTGATATCATTAGCTTTGTTTGAAGACACACACACACACTAGACCTTTGTGGGTACAGCATGTTTCCAAATACAGTTAGAAAAATGAGTTTCTGTGTTGTTGGATATTTTCTTAAAAAAAAAAAAAAGCTTGTCTGTATGGTTCAGTTATCTAAGAAATCTTGTAAAGCAATCTGTAAAACCAAATCTTCAAATTTTCTATTTGGTGTCAACTGTTCTGTAGTGAAGAAATGGCTTTGTCTTGTAATTGGCAATGAAATAATAATGCTTGGGACAACATTCAGATGCTTCTAATGGGGAAAACTGCCGATTTTCACACAGTGCTTTTGCTATGCATGGTATTAAGTTGGGAAAGTGAATCCTGATAGTATTCTTTTTTCAGGGTCACTTTAGAAATGGGCAGCTCCAAGCACAATGCCTCCCATGGGACAAGGCTCCATAATGCAGCATTTTATGTAGAATCATGTTGTGTTTACTGCAGTTGAAGACTAAACTGGATTGTCGCAGTTGGCAATGTCACATTGCACTTGTCCTACTGAGATTGCATTAGCTGCCCAAGATGCTGCTATTTTTTTTCATTCTTATTTTTAAAAATAAAGCTCTGTTCTGTTAAATGTCTTTAAAACATTAAGATTATGTTGGTTTAAAATGGTCTTTGAGGAGGTGGAGGGTAAGGTGGGTTGTAAATTGCCTTTACAAGGCAACAATGAAAACACACCTCCTTGAAATTTTGTTCAAGCTATAGAATTGATGGAGCTGTGTCTTGTTTTTAAGTTGCTTTAAAAATTGTAATAAGTCTTCAAGCAGAATAAAGATTGTTTTGAAACTACATTTCAGTTTTTGAGGTGTCAGTAAGGATTGAGATGTCTATTCACCAGCATCCTTGGCTGACTTTTCCTGTCTATATGTGGCTTACTTCGAAAATGAGACCCAAATGGTAACTTTATTAGAGGAAACTAGGGAGAAGATAATTTCAGCTGAGTCACAACCATCCTATATATTGGACTGAGTGGAGTAGTTGAGTAGCTCCAAAATAGTTTTGTCTCAAACAGGGCCAAAATTACAGTTCTGTTCATCATACTCTTCCAAAAGCACTACAATATTCCTGGTCAGTGATCTGCCTCTTACACTGCAGATGAAGTTCCAGTTCTTCTGAAATGAGTGTCAGTTTTGTCACTGATTTCCATGAAGCTGGCCTATCGGCCTTTGTAGCTAGAGGTCATTTGTAAGCTTCTTGGCTGCATCTAATTGTGCAAATGAACATGAGAATAAAGCAGGGGGGTTGGGGAAGACTGGACAAGACCGATTTCTGAGTATTGTTTTCTTCCCTTCATTTATTGGTATGTCCTATCTGATTTCTTCAAGCTCATCCATAATCTTACTCCAGGAGAGGTCCTTCAGGGAAGTCAGCCAGCAACTCTGGAAGCAGAAGGAGATTCTTATACCCCTTTTGCCCAAAGTCTCCATTCCAAAATCTGCCCACAGTTTGCTTGCGGTAGTCATTTAATACCACCTGACTGAGGTATTCAGGTAGCATAGGCTTGAAGCTATTTTTAATAATCACAGCATTGTCACTGGTCCTTAGAGGTTCTTATAAGTAACTTAGACTAAAGACTATTACCGTACTTTAGCTTACTTAATAGAAAGTGGCTTGAGATTTCTGATGAACGTACCTGCTGCAGTTTTTCTCGGTAAGCCGATTCTTTTAAACAAACACTGAGTT